CGGCTCGGCGAGGGGAGCGACACCGCTCCAGCCGGCTCGCTGTCCTCAGAAATTCTGGTAACGACACGCGTTGGCTTCTAACCACCGTCCGCACCCCATCACCCCGTCTGGTAAAGCCGTAATTTAAATGGAGGCTTCCACACGAAAGTTAAATTGAAAGTTTTTCTGTGTCGTCTTTTAAAAAAATCCCCCAAACTCGTCCTTAGTGATTAGGTCTTGGACTATTTACGTATGACTCCATTTGACATGCAAAGAGGGATGTTCAGTGCGGTTCTGGTTCTCTCCAGTCTGGTTCCTGGCTCTGAGGCAACAGCTTTGGGTGGCATCGCATGACAGGGCAACCACCGTCCAAGGAAGGTGGCAGCGCCAAGCCACCCTGCTCCCACCGAAAGAAACATTAAAATGTTGGGGAAGAGTACCTATATTTGGAAGACTTTGTTAACAGGACTTAGAGGAGCACAAAAGCAGCTTAACAGGACAAAGATTCAGGTTTTGGACATCTTTTAAATACTGTTCAACACTTTGCACCTACACTGCTGGCTCATGTAGGTGAAAGGCTGGGAGACACTGGTAACACACCAGCAGCACAGGAGAAGCTGTCATGACCAAGCTCCTCTGCACAAGTAGAAACCATACCCCTAGTGACCAGAGACCTGCGCTGCTTGTGTGACAGCAGCCGTCAGTTACACTGACAATGAAGACCTCAGCCTAAGGACAGCATATGGTGCTTAGTGCTAAAACTTAACAGAGGGCATTAACTACAATCAGCTGGAGCTTTCTGAGTTAAGCAGCAAGCAGGGTACGCTGTATGCAAGAAATACAAACACACTGAGCTGCTTGCTTTTTGAGTTAATTGATATACATACAGGCAGCTACACATTGAAATAATAAACTAATGTGAGACAAATTCTCTCTTACTCCTCTCCGGTGAGCAGCCATAACACATTAAGATTATGCCAGATACCTGACCTCTGGATTCTCTAGTTGAGAATACATACTGTAACAGCAAAGATGAGAAAAGCATTTTTGGGGTCCTGTCATCTGTGGTTATTCTCACCCAAAACACCCACAAACAGATCCTTACTGAATTCAAAGAGTGACACACCATTTTACTTGGGGAAGTGTATAACTGAAATTGGTCTGCTATTTGTTCAACAGTGAAATGATTTTACTAACATTTTTAAAATATTTTACCATTTTTCACCATATCAACTGAAGACTTTCATATGACACTTCAGTCACTTTCAAATACAATACTTCAAAAAAAAGTTTAAACAGTTGCTTATTTTACCTTTGTTTTTCAACACAGACCCTAACTGCAGTAAATCCCAAGGAAGGTTAGTATCTTATTCCAGTGTCTGTAATCCAGTGCATGGTTTCTTACTAAGCATAAAGAGAAACCTCTACTTAATATTATCTGCCTTCAAAGTGAAAATCAGAGGACCGACACCCTCTACACAACTAACATAAGCCAATTTAAATCTTAGTTCAAGCTCATTGGCAGGAATACTCAGGCTAGCTAAAAATTCCCATAAAGTTCAATTAGAAGGCAACCTCTTAACGACTACATCTTCTTCCAAAAACAAAAGCAAAAATCAAATGAACCATATACTGATGAAAGCTGTAATGGTGCCATGTCAGTTTTACTAAGAAAAAAATGCCTTTCAATGGCAGTACAAAGATTTGTGCAAAGGTTTCAAGAAGTAAAATAATTCAGCTTCTGTGTTTTATCTTTCTCTGTTTCAGACAGAGACTAGCAGCAAATACTGCTCCTACCACAAACATCCTAGCACTCTGTGGCTAGCCAAGCCCAGCGCGCTTGGTTCAGCCCGTTTGCACAATTCCTTTGTGCTTTGCTTTTGAGGAAAGGCGGCAGACTCAGTGTACCTCAACAGATCTAATTTACTGACATTTCCTTTTAGTACCAATCTATGCATTGCGTACAGACTTTGGGGAACAAAATGTCTAACAAAGCTGAGTTAATTAGTAATTAATTTGGGGTGTTTTCTATTAATTGAGACAAATTCTTCATTTGATTATACACTTCCTGGAGTACTTTCTGAAGTGAGAGTCATGGTTCTACTTTCAAATGAACTCCACTGCAAATTTTATATCTGCATTGTAAATAAATATAGTTTGACAGTAAGTACTTTCAATTTAACACTCTATACTGACTGGAATAAGTAGATTACAAAGAAGGAATATAAATAAAACAAGTATATGTACGCATATGTGTATTTTTATATCTAGACAAAAAATACAACTCAAAGCCTGTTTCTTGGTTTGGGCTTTTTTTTTTTTTTTTAAGTTACGCATTTTAATATCATGCCAAGAAGATGCACAAAGCTCTAACTCTTTGTACATAAAAATTGGTCAAACCACAAAAACCACCTCTGGCCCATTACATGATATCCTTCCCTGAAGAGTGTGAAGATTTTATGTGAATAAATCTATCTACCTAAGAACAACTCTGTTGCTTTACTCTTGAGGAATAGAAGTTGACTGTACTTGACCACAGAAGCTAAAGACATAAGGAGCTGGACTGTGGTTTTGTGGCCACAGCCTCATTTTCAGGTTGTGTGTGTTTGCGTACGTGCACAAACCTGTGAGCAAATATACCACGAGTGGAGCAGGATTTTTGGGAGCCAGCCACTCTAGAGTTTGCTGCCTCTGGCAAAATTGTTCTCTGGCAGGGTAAAAAGTATGAAGAGGTATATTATCTACTGTAATTTTGCTGTGCCCCAGTAGCATTCACACTGAGTATTAGGAGAGTAAACGGTGATCCTGATCCTCCTGCTATCAGTACCCCTACCACCCTCACCTAGTAAAATTTCCCATTCTGGTCTTCCTATTTTCTTTCTTCAAAGGCTCCCCACTCTGCTTCTTTATTCCTGCATTTGCTCTTCACTTATTTAAATAACCCCTTCACCTTCTCAGCATTTTTCACCTCCTGTTTAATGGCATTGTGTTTTCACTCATAAGCAAAAGCATGACCTAAAAATAGTTGCTTTGAGCAAAACACATTTCTAAGCTTAAAAATATCTAATATAAATACAATTGTGGAGTAGACTTCTGGATATAAACATGCTGCTATTGCTGTTCTCCTTTACCCCTCTCCAGGTTTTTTGGTCTTTTTACCATACAAGCTCTTCGGTTGGAGGAACACTGTATCTCCCCACAGATCTGCACAGACCAGGGAAGGCTCTCGCTCCTGAATTGTACAATTGCTGTGTCTTGTCCAATGCTCTGACAAAGTACGACACTGAGACAATACACAGGGAACTGGATTCTTCTCCTCTCTGCTCATCAGGCTGCTTCCCCCTAAAAGCATTTTTCTCTGTAGCCAAAATAAAGATAATATATAGATATATATATATAGTAACAAAGAGCTAAAGCTGCACCTAATGTTTGAAAACAATAAATGAGGTAAAATCAGAAATGACAAATTGGCTACAACTGAAATCCTGTACAGTCAGTGTAAACAAGAGCAATCACAGCAGGAACTTTTGCTGTTTTCCAGTATCCAAAGTGTTTCCCTAACCACATACAAAGAAAAGCCATTTGTTTCTCTTTTAAATTGAGATAGACTTGTTCGGACAGACTGGCATACAATTTTAATCCTCCCAGTCTAATGGAATCTCCTCATAATGTAACTATTTGTTCAAGATCTTTGTCTCTATTTATGCATTCTTAAAGATCATCAAAGCTCACAGTAACTTGCATCCGAAATTCCCAGATTAAAGTTTTCAGTTTTAGTTTTCCTTTCTAATATGGCTCAGTTTAAACAAGCAAAATGCACCCTCTGTTGGGCCAAGCACGTAATGACTTCTTCCCAAGGTCATCAAATCCTGTTATGAAGGTTTGTTTTTATGATTAACTGTGAACTATTGTACAAGTCATACAAATGTTTGAATTAATATTATATTTAAATGAAACCAAAGCAGCACAGAATATTCAGTGCTACCATGTAGCCATTAGGAGATGGATGATCTTTTTCAAACACTGCTTACACCTGTAGGATTTATAACTCTTTCCAGCAAGCACTGGAAATTCATTTATCGTAACCTAAAACAAGCAAGTATCTGTACTTCATTTCAGCAACAAAGCACAGTTAGCACCCACTATCACTGCAATGCATTTTTTACAGCTGGACAAGGATTGCTAACTGGCATACTAGAAAAGCCACACACAGAAGCCCCAAAGAGCATTTTGGATAAGGATGCTACAGTAAACTCCCAATATCAAAGAGGGCTTATTTTACCTGATTTCTTCTTACCAGGATATTTCTAGATCAGGGTGGGATTCAGTGAGGTAAAACTGGCCAGTGTATCAGAACAGAAAAGAACAAAAGGTGAGGTCTTAAGCCTGCATATGCTGAAGCCTATACCCATGTGCAAAAACCTAAACTGCTTAGACGAGCAAAGTAAATATGGGCTGGTATGTCAACACTGGAGCCTAAAACTCACACCACAGTGAAGAAGAATGTTTGTGTAATACATGGACATCAGAACAGAGACAATATGCAGTTCTCAAAACCAGAAAAGGTAGACAGATCGCTTAAGGAAACAAGATAGTGAAGAGAGGTGAAGACAGCTGGGGTGCAGAAACTGTGAGCTGGGATGCAAAGTTATCAATGTCTGCCAAGCTGCTAACAAAGGAAAGCTCCTCTGGAGCATGAGAAGATAACACATTTAAAATAGATAAAAAGCATACAGGTAGAACTGACTGCTGTGAAACAAGACTCCTCCAAGGTCTACACTTAACCAATCCCTTTCACAATGATATTTAATAAAAACTGCACTGTGGTAAAATACTTTATAGTAGTAAGAAAGAAATCTTCCTACCTTGAATGTGCTCAGCTGCTGATTAATAGTCTCCGTTTCCATTCCAACAGGACCTTGTGACTCTTCATGTTCTTCAGCTCTCCCAAGCACACTGGAAAATTCTTGTAGCTTACTGTAAAACTCCTCAACACGGTTAATAGTACCTTCCACTTGATCTTCCCTGGCTTTTGCTCTGTCTAGTAGCTTGTTGCACTGTTTATTTAAAGCTTCCAAGTCTCTTTTTATGCCAACAAGATCAGGAGAAGCTTCAGCTTCTGTGGCTAGCATCATTTTACAGTTTTTATTAGCATATTGATTATTCATTATAAGATCCTCCAGCTTTTTCAGGAAACATTTTATGTCCTTCCTCTGTGATTGAAGTACCTTGAGATCTCTCCCTACTGGAGCCATGCTATCAAGTTCATCATCAAACTCTGCAAACTGAGAGAACATGTCTCGGATCCTGTTTTGGAAATGGCCAATTCCCTGAAGTTTTGTCTCTAAGAACAAGCACTTCTCTTCAACCTGCTGGTTCACTGCAGTGTATTCTCGCTCCAACGATTCAGCTTGGAGCAAAAGGTCAGAAACACCTGCTGAATCAGAAGCTTCTACCACCAGGTCTTGGGCAATCTTTTTTGCTAAATCAACATGAGGCTTTAAAGTCTGCAAGGCTTTCTGCTGGGCCTGCATCATCGTCAGGTGTTTGCTACTCAGTGACTGAGGTTCAAGCAAGTTGTGAGCTTCCAGATGCTCTTTGGCATTTTTAAGTTGTTTTTCAGTTTCCCTGGATGATTCCTGAAACTCCTTCAGCCTTTGTGCCATACTTTCCAAGCACTCTCTCTTCTTATGTAATTGTTCTGTGACCACATTCAATTTCTGATTCAGCATCTTATTTTCTTCTTGAATAATTTCTTTATCCGTTTGACTTGCACTGAGCAGACTTTCAGCAGCATTATTTAACAGCTCCACCATCCCATGGTGTTTATCCAGGTCCTTCTGCCAAGCCCTCACCTGAACAACAGAATTCTCTATTTCAACAGGATTTATGCTAACTTTTAATTCACACAGGTTGCTTTGGCATTTCTCTATCCATGGCTGCAGATTTTCTACGTGCTGCTTGTATTTGAGGGCTTTGTCCAGACAATCTGTTAATTTATCTTGCCTTTCTTTTACCTGCTTATTCATTTCATCCCAGTTAATTCTGAGTGTGGCCATTTGGGACTGTAATGCTGCTTTGTCTGCTCCTTGTGTCTTCTGTAAGATACTTTCTCCTTCTGCAACAATTCTTTCATATGAACTCATCTGATCGGTCAGGGTCTTCTTAAAATCTTTCTGTTCTTCAATTATTGACTGCAAGACATCAAGTCTGGCTGACACAGGACGAGCCTGGTTCAGCTCTTCTGTCTTTTTGCCTAGCCAGGCCTGAAAGTCCTTAGACATTTGCTGGAACTGATGAGAAGTGGCATAGGCTGACTGAAGCTGCTGAATATGTTTATCTACAAAAGAGAAGACAGCACAGAGGTTCAATATCAGAACCTACTAGTATCCAATGAATAAATAATATTGATTCTATTATGAATGATCATTAATGTGAGGAAAGCTGGCCCTCAGTATGTGGTTTTCAACTGAAAAGCAATAAAGTTTCTTGCAAGGGACAGACTTGTGCCTGTACTACAGCAGAGCAGTGAAGGCATTTGGACATGAAGCAAATGAGGTGAGCTTAGCCAGTCTATGTCTACACGAATCCCAGACTGCGGTGTAAAAACACACAGTCATGTTTCACGGAATTCTGAAGTGGAAGCACAGGGAATATTAAGCAATCTAGCCCAGTAGTGTCTAATTCATGGCCTGCAGGCAATATGGCTGTTCAGGGAGATCCTTTGAAGTTCCTCATGACCAGGGGAAACAAAAAGCTGAAACTAAGGCTGTCAGAGAGAACAAAATATGATATCGCTTGCAGTGTACTTACCTGCTCAGTTCTGCTGTTCACAGGATAAGGGAAGGCTGCAGACTGCCAGCCCCCTTCTGTCACAGGGAGTTTTATACAATTACCAATGCTTTTCGCCAAGTTATTAACTAGTGCTTCCCTAAAAATTACTATTTTGGCTTACATTCTGCACCTACACAGGTAGGTACTTGATGAACAGCATCTTGTTTTGGTATCCTAATTCAGTGAAGATGCACCTGAAGGCAGAGATGACAGCAGCCCTGGTATTGTGCTTCAAATTACCTGCCAAACTGTTCACTAGAGACCTGAAATACTGTTTTTACCTTTTCAAGATATGGGGACTCAGGATTTCCTAAGTTCTAATGTACAACTGCTTGGGGGCTCGACTGAATTGAGAGCTGGCATTAGGCTCAGCTCACTCAACATCTCTATAAAGACAAACGTAACTATGATGTTTTACTTTATGCCTTAGTTACCATTTCTCTTTAAATAAATACTAACCTGATTTTTGCTCAATATCCTTAAATGATTTTAAGATGCCATCTAACTGTCTTGTAAGTTCTGCTTTCAAATACTCTTCTCCAACCAGTGTTGACAGCTCTTCACAAAGAGGTTGAGCTGCATTTATATTCTTCTTTTCCTGTTCTATTTCCTCCTTTGTTTCCCTAGCAATTTCCAGCTGGTGTTTCACAGCATCAGGTTGTGTACTCACAGCCAGGCTGCTGCTTAATTTGCTATCCAAGGCACTTAGCTTATCAGACAGACTTCTGAGTAGACTTTGATACTCTGTGCTTTTCACAATGGCTTGGTCAATTCGGTCACGTCTGTTCCTCAGTTGTCCAGTTAGACTGTCCCATTTTTCTGCCACAGCTGCCAGTTGCTCTTTTACAATTTCATGGGAGGGTGGATGTTCACCAGGTCTCTTCAGAATCCTTTCACCAGCCATAGTTAACTGCTCGTATTGTGGCTTTCTAGTGTCAAATTCTTTGAGCAGAATCTGAAAAGAAAATAATTTTTAAAAGCATTTACCTCATGAAAAAAAGAAGCAAAGTGCTTCTGACAAAACTCATGTAGAATTTGTTGTAGCTAAGCTCTCTTATTGAGCAATCAAGCTCTAAGTTTAAAACACAGTGAAATAATTCTTCTACACATAAACTGTGTTGTTTCCAAGCATTTACATCAAAGAACCAGAAAAGAGAGGTTAATTTACACATCATCTAATAGAAATTCAATCAGCAGATACAAGTAAACAATGAATTCTGTTAATACCACAGCAACTAAGTAACTGTACCAAGTAAAATAATCACTGTTTAGTTTCAAGCAGTGTCTTCCTTCCTACACAGTTTCGATATTTGTCTTAAGATAGAACTTCAAAGAAGGTATATTCTGACATAATATTCCAATGTATTATTATAGCACAGAGACTATTTGGATAATTCACAAAATGACTGAATGTGTACTGTAAGACCTTTGAAGTTTACATCACTGGTTCCCAGTATTAGGTTTTTTTTGACAGTAAGTCGATAGTGCTTGCAGCAGAAGGGACAAATATCATGGCTTTACTTTACAGAACATCCCAAGCCCTTTCTTTTTACGTCAGCTAGGTTTAACTTTTAAGGACTTTTAAGTGATACATGATAGTCTTATGCCAGCTGTCTAGATTTTTGAAGCACTTACAAACCAACAGTAATTTTCACATAGTATGAGAACACAGTTCATGTTTTAAACACTTCATTTTAATCAATACTGATATGCCAGCTTTAATAATATTTTTGCAAAACAAAATTGTTATTTCTCATCTCAGTTTAAAATAACTGTCAGCAACAGAAACATTTGAAATTAAAATTTCTAGTTTCTGCAACTTTGATTTAACTTTTGTTTCATCTGCAGTTTACTATATTTCTGTAAGGAAACCACTCCACTTTTTCATTGTACTTTTTCTTCTGTCTTTCACAGTCTTGACCCCATAACTGTTCACAGTACTGCATTTTACTTGCCTTCATATTTTTAGTAGCTACTGGCACAGTCAAGTGAATAAAATCTCAAAAAGCTAGTTCTACAGCGTAGACTGTATATGAGGACTGACCATAAATTGCTACACACACACTCAAATTAATAAAACTTCAAAGGGACATTTTCATTAGACTAGAGAGAAACTACAGTATGGTCAAAATACAAAAATGTATCAGAGGATCAGTATCTCTTCAACATTTTTTTGCCCTTAGCTGTTCTGGTCTCTCTCCACTCTTACGATAGTTTCTTTTCTTTTAATTAGTGCAGTCAAGTATGACTCAGGCTATTTACTGATAAACAAATGCAGTAGCTCATACTAACTGTGCTGTACTCTATCTAAATGCAAAATAGTACTTTGCTAATGACAAAAAAGCAGAAGAAACTTAAATCAATAATGCACATTGGCATTACTCACCTGAACCTGTTGCTTTTGTGTATTCAGCATATTAGGGTCAATTGACAGCGGTCCCAGCACACTGACCATTAGGTCCTTTTCTACAAGCCAATGCTTTAACTGAGCTTCTGCTGTCTGGAACTGAGTCAGGTAATTTGAAGACTCCTCCAGTGTTTGTTGTCTCTCAGATGTAAGTTGATTGAGCTCTTTCCATTTGGAATCTAACAATGATAATGTTAACATATTGCATGCATGTTCTAGCAGATGGGTTGTCAGACAGCAGACTATATATGAAACATAAACAGAGCTCTCTAATAAGGCTTCTTGCTGATTAACTCCAGATGCCTTATTGCAGTGACTCAGCAAATACATCTTTCAACACTCAAATCCATATATGCTTGGATGAAAATCTGCAGTTTAGCACAGCCACGTGCGGAATTTTTAAGAGCAATGAATATACAACATGTAATAAAATTGGATTAGAATATTACTAAGTGAAATACCACCAAATTTAGGCTTCGGTCTCAAATGACATGAAAGCCAAAGGGCTGTACTCAGTTATAACTTAGGTGCCTGATTTAGATAGACAAATCTTCCTGTTTATTAAGTAAAAAAAAAAACGGACCTTTTCAAGGGTGAGCAGAAACCCTAATTGAGGCTTCTACCATGAACAGCCCTCTGAAGGAGCACACCTCTTTCAAATGTCTGTATTAGGAGCCTGAGGAGATTAACTGCCTCATTTAAACATCCAAAGCAGGTACCTACTGACAAACAATGAGAGTATTTCTGTACACAGGTGTTTCAAAAGTGCTGTGTGAGCTGAGGTTCACACCGAGGCCAATCTATGTTCTCTTCCACCTGTAGCAAGTGGGCTTTCAGAGCAGCCATTGAGTCTTACGGTTTTGTAACTTCCCCCCTCCCTCTGTGATACTGTCAGCTCTGATGCTTTCCTAACTCTCTTTCTCCCTGAATTTCATCTGTGTTTCTTCAGTTTCTTTCGCCACTTTACTGTCTTTGACCTCTGCTCATTCTGTATTAATTCCCTTTCAACACTATTCAAGTTCTTTTGGAGACCTTACTTGCTACTGAAACTTTTCAGAGTTTCACTTACAAACAGAATAGATTGGAAGAATTCTCAGTTGTAAAATTACTACTAGTGCAGCTACAGACCTGCCTATCAGTATGAAACAAGACTGACTTCTGATTTATATAACATATGACAAACCTAAGAAGAATTTTTAAAAAGCTAATGAAAATTATGCATTGCAGTACCTCAAAATCTGTTGTCCAAACATGGTAATTTCCTTTTTCTTTTTTCTTTTTTTTTAATTTTTTTTGCAAATTTCATGGAATCAGTTTTAGAAAATGGCAAAAAGCCACCAGACCACAAAATTACAAAAGCCACTAGAGCATGGGAAAAAGCCATGCAGAAAAGCATTACCAACAACTCAAAACTATTCTTTACATGAAATAAGAATTAACTTAATTTGTTGTAGTTTGTACGAAGAACAGCATACGTATCTGGAGCAATAACTGACCAGTTAAGTTTTAGCCACACAGTGTCTGAAAAAGTTAAAGCCCTCTCAAACAGGGAGTCAAGCTATAGCCTCTCTCAAGAGCACTCATAGAAGTTCAAAGCCCAAGGACATCAGTGGAATTACACCAGGTCTACACTCTTGTACAGGGAGTTATTTCTGAAGAATTTAAGGGGCAGGAGGGAGCAAGATATCAGAAATATTAGAGATTGCTAATACATTTAAAAAACTCCTAATAAAACAACTTCCAAAACAGCCTGAGCTATATTCAGATTTACTGAAGTACCTATTTTATCCAACATTTGTCTCCACTTGGGTGCCTCAGGAGAGTTGGGGTTCTTCTCCAACAGCTCTGTCACTTTGTCCTTTAGTTCCTGCACTTTATTCGCACTTTGCTTTAATTCAGTTTCAAAAAGCTGCAAATTCAAGTGATAAAATAAATAAATAAGAGACTAAAGAAAAACAGTAAAGTTTGAAATCCATAATACAGAGATGCCAAGCACAAAGACAAACAACAAACACCTAGCACTTGTATACTACATTTCTGCTATGAATCGAAAAACAGTAAAGTTTGAAATCCATAATACAGAGATGCCAAGCACAAAGACAAACAACACCTAGCACTTATATACTACATTTCTGCTATGAACCTCTACACACTTCATAATGGTGTATGGTGCAGGTCACTTTTTTTGGAAGAGATAACCTGAGAGATTTAGACTATGCTAATAATAACAATTATTGTTTAATTTGAACAAGTGACAGAACTAGAAGAATTCAGATAAATAAGATCCACTAGGTCCCATCATATTTACAGGTTCCTGGAATCTGTTCATGTACAGAAGGCAAACTGGCTAACACACAGTACAGTTCACAGCAGAAATAACCCAGCTAGCACCAACAGAGATGAGTGTGTTGTGGCCTCATTTATTTCCCTAAAAGTCCTGCAGTCACAGAGGGACTGCTTCTTGTAGATGATCTAGAACTATAGTTTAAAGAGCATTGTAGCTTTAAGTGTAAACCTATCAGAAGACTGAGATACGCCAGCAACTCCTAATTCATTCTGTTCATACAGACAGAAGTAAACAGTCCTTACAGAATCATAGAATCATTAAGGTTG